TCCAAGAAGGGCCTAATACTGATGCAGTTTGTTCGACAATCCGAGGTCTGGAAGTTAATCCGGTGTATAATGCATGGTGATACTGAAGCTCTGCGCAAGACTCGAATGAAGTTAGTCCAGTAGGTAGTCCCATGAGCAGAAAGCATATCTAAGCAAAAACCCAGCAAAAGTATGGACAGCATGCTAACAACCATGTTCAAATGCTTCAGATACAACAGAACAAGGCACAGATTTGCTCCTGCGTAAGAAAGATTATTGCCCAGCAGGTGGAGCTGAATGCTGTAGTCATAGTAAACATGGTCATTTCAAGAAATGCTGCCACTCTAAACATGCAAGTGAAGAAAATAAACAGCAAACAAATACATCCAAAAAGTGGGACGGTCAAATAAGTTAGACATTTTGAGAAAAATCAATTATCCAGGCAGTAAATACTGGTTGTTAAATCTTACCAAGTTTAAGTAGGGCACTGGTGCAGGCATTAGTATTTTGTGTTACAAATTAAAATGATTAAAACAGATCAAATGGTAACCCTTTTCACTCAAGTTACAGGTATTAGTAGGGACAATGTTGAAATTCAAAGATCACATCATGGCAAGTTAAACATATAAAGCTCAAGTAATAACTGAACTATTTTATATCTTTCAGACACTTCACTTCTCAACAGGTTAGTATGTTTAAGATTAAAGCTGATCATTAAAACAGATGAAATTGCTACGGAAGATAGTGATACAGAATCTAGAGAAGAATCTCCTAAGTTACATTCAGGCATGGGAAGGCTAAGAATGTGTATGCCACATAACATTGCGGCCAATCACAATATCAATTTTATGTTTTCTCTCCAAGGAGGTGAAGGCAGAAATGCAGCAATAAGAGGCAATTTCACTAGTCACAATCCCATTAAGTTTGAGAGGGATCACATGGAAGAGTTAGTTTTGATCACTATCTATATGTAGTGTGATACAAATAAAACTTGTGTTAAAATACAATAGATTATTGCAGAATCATTAAAGAGAAAAAGCACCCTTCCCAACTCACCCCCACACCAGAATGCAAATATGAAGAACAAAACAGAAACAATCAATAATTTTCAAAAGGATGAAAGACAATACAGCTGTGGGGATTGAGCAGGGAATGGAACTGACTGGATTTCTTCATGGTCAGTGGGCTTGGACTCAATGGGCCGATTGGCCTCCTGATTCTATGACCGCTGTTCTTCATGGGTTTAATGTGAATTGGCATTGTTTTTCTCCCATTTGTAAGAAGGTCTTTCTGCATTTGCCTGTAGTTTAAGCTCTGAGGTTGTGTCCTGGTGCAGAATCAGTCTAATTAACTGTTTGCACAAGTCCTGGGCGTGTATTTGGTCCAGTCTTGTATTCCCCTTTCTTTTCCAGTCCCTTGTGCTGAGTTGAATTGTTGAAAACTGTTGCCTGCCTTTAGGTTTGTTAGGCAGCTGGCCAAAGTTTCTTTCCAGGTTTCAGCACCTACGTTGTATCAACACAATGTGGGCTGCCGCTGTGTGTCATTTGAGCGTGGTATCCTTTTCTTCGGTTCTGTGTAACTCTGCCAGAGACCAGTTCTGTATGATGCCAGTTTGTGTGTTTTCTCGACAGGGGATGCCACAGCAAGACAATGTTGAATCTTCACTCAGTATATCTTGATAACAAGCTTCGGGAGCTTTGAAATGCAATGTATCGATTTAGTTTGAAGTCAATTGATGAAAATGCTATTTCAGTAATAACACTCCTGGGAATGATTGCACTCAAACCATTATCTGAAACTGGCAACAGTGCATCATGTCAAAGGACGTTTTGGGATAACGAAGACACTGCTAAGCCAAACTTGTTCTGCTTGCTTGTTAGGTGCCTTGACTTCCTTTCATGAAGAATGAAATTTTACAATATTCCTAAAACTACCACCTCCATTAATCCTCCCTCCTTTCCAGATTTAGTCCAAGCCCACCCCACACACACTCTCTCTTGCACGCGCACACACACACACACAATTCAGAGTAGGTTAAACCAGTTCTCTTGATTCTGAACCTCCCACCTCAAGCCGCACCTCCATCTCCTACCGACCAACCTCATCCCGCCCCCTTGACCTGTCCGTCCTCCCTGGACTGACCTATCCCCTTCCTAACTCCCTACTTACACTCACCTTTACTGGCTCCATCCCCGCCTCTTCGACCTGTTTGTTTCCTCTTCACCTATCCTCTCCTCTATCCCTCTTCTATCCGCCTCCCACTCTCTCCCTATTTATTTCAGAACCCCCTTCCCCTCCCCCTTTTCTGATGAAGGGTCTAGGCCCGAAATGTCAACCTCTCTGCTCCTATGATGCTGCTTGGCCTGCTGTGTTCATCCAACCCTGCACCTTTTTCCCAGGAAGTTCACCCACTTCCCATCCTTAAAATTAAGCTCAGCATCTCTTTATTCAAGCCATGTCCCTCCCTCTTTTACATGAGTAATGTGGGCTTTTATCCTTCCAGTATTAGACCAGACACCCTCCTGTCTCTAAAAGTGAACCAAACAGCTGAGTGATCACCAAAATAAGTACAATAGCCCTGATACCAGTGCAACATCAACCAGAGCCTCAAACTATGTACCTTGCCAATCAGCTTCTATTCATTCAACCCAAACATATGCCATCAAATATTTTTCAACTGTCAGCATTTTATAGTCATCACCACCCCTCCCCTCCAATTCAATTGTATCTTTGCAGATGAAATATTAGCACAGTAACAGAAAGAAAGAACTTGCATTCGTATGTCACCATTCATGACGTGTCAATTGCTTTAGAGCCTATGGACCACTTTTCATAGAATCCCTACAGTGTGGAAGCAGGCCATTCTGACTCTCCATCCCACCCAAAACCGTAAATCTGCATTTCCCATGGCTAAGCTACCTAGTTTGCACATCCCTGGGCAATTTAGCATGACCAATCCATGTAACTGCACATCTTTGGACTGTGTGAGGAAACCAAAGCACCCAGTGGAAACCGCATCCCCACCCCCACCCCCACCCCCACAGACACAGAGTAGAATGATAAAGCTCCAGACAGACAGTTGCCCAAGTGTGGAATTGAACCCAGGCCCCGAAAGCTATGAGGCAGCCGTAATAACCACTGAGCCACTGTGCCCCCGCCTTTTGCCATATGTGTCTACGCAACAGCCAATTTGAACACAACAATGGGGTAATTTGCAATCAGGCAATTGGAGAATATTCCAATAGAAAACTATGTAATGAGGTCTGGATCTGAGTGGTCCCAGTGGAATCCAAGCTGAGTAATGGTGAATATGTGTGAGTTGATAGCACAACGGTTAATTTCTTCCTTCAATTTGTTGATAATTAAGAGTAGACTGATAGCATGGTAATTGGCTAGACTGAATTTGTCCTGTATTTTCTCAGCAGGATTTCATTGGGTGATTCCCTGTTATGGTTGGATAATGCCGGTGTTATAGTTATACTTGGACAGCTTGGCTAGGAACATTGCTATTTCTGGAACACAATGTATTGACTCTGCAGCATTGATGTTATCAGGACCATAGACTTTGCTCAATCCATTGCATACTGGCATTTCCCATGCAGTGAATAGAGTTTGCTGAAGTCTGGCATCTGTGATGCAGGGGACCTCAGGAGGAGGCTGAGATTGATCAAGCGATCTAAAGGTGGTTGCAATTGTTCCCTGTCTGTTATTTTGTGATGGCTTTTGAATAACCATAGAATCCCTACAGTGTGGAAACAAGTCCACACCAACCCTCGGAGCATCCCACCCAGACCCATCCCCCTATAACCCACCCAAGTTACACATCCCTGAACACGAGGAGCAATTTAGCATTGCCAATCCACCTAGCCTGCATATCTTTGGACTGTGGGAGGAAACTGGAGCACCCAGAGGAAACCCACGCAGACACAGGGAGAATGTGCAAACTCCACACAGACAGTTGCCTGAGGGTGGAATCGAACCCAGGTTCCTGGTGCTATAAGGCAGCAGTGCTAACTCACTGAGCAACTGTGCCGCCCTTTCTATTACTGCAACAGGAATGTCCTCCAATTAATTGTTTAATTATCCAGCATCATTTTTGAAACATGGATAGAACTTTTGATTATGGAATTAATTAGCCTTAGCAATGCTGATTGAAGGAGAAATATTGGCCAGGGCTCTGGGACAACCTCTCTTGCCACTTTTCCAATGGTACCAGGCCAAAATAAACACCTCCCTGAGAGGGAAATGAGGGTTTAGTGAATCAGAAAGACAACTGATATTGCAGCGCTGCTTCAAACAAACACTGAATGCAACTCTGCAAAGATATGTTTTGAAACCTGGTATCTTGGTGTGGTTATGAATTGACTTAGTGGAAGCAGATTTACAGGATTCACAGATTTTGTTGAATTTCTGGCTGCAGTTGATGTATTCTGTGAATCAGGGTTATCTCACATAGGTGAGATGAACAGTCAATCCTTGCAGATACATCTAAAGATACTGTTCCAAAGACATTACCTGCTTTGCCTCTGGGACGTAAGCCACTGGCAGCCTCCATTTATTCATGCCACAGAGATTGTCGAGGTTCATACTGGGATAGATCTTCACAGACATATGCACCCATTGATCAATTATACTGGGGCGTAGTTCCGATGGTGCTGTCACCTCTCAGTGACTCAAGGTATATAAGGCTCCACAGACAATGACAGCCTGCTGGTAGCTGCCCCAAGGTTCTATACAAGAGTTCAGTCCCCCATTCCTATACTCCACTGAATTTCATATATGGGCATCCTCACTAAGCTCACTGCAGTGTCAGAACAGGGGCATGACTTTTCTTTCCTCACTCCCACCTCATCACCTGCTCAGTCTTACGAAAGCCATTTTTAGCATTCCAGATCCCATCCAAGCTGAGGTGAGCTAACCTTGGCGCTGCATTCATTGCCGAGCTTTGGAGAGAAAATGGTTCTAGTTTTATTCCCATTTGTGCATGTGAGTCTAACTTTACACTGTCCTTGTTATTCCAGGCCTACAGAACATTCTGCCTGGGCATTTACGGGAACGGTTTGTCGAAGCTGCTCTCAGTTACATTGCCTGTAACTCGGAGGGCAGCTTCATCTGCAAGAACCATGACTGCTGGTGCCAGTGCACACCCAAATACCCAGAGTGTAATTGTCCTTACATGGATATCCAAGCCTTGGAGGACAGTCTGCTGTGGATAACAGACACCTGGACCAACTACAACAAAGAGTTTGAAGTGACGGGTGAGCTGGAACATTTCTTTCTCCTTTTAAATGGCTTGCAATTTGCCTTTGCATGAACCCAATTTGAGGGCAGTGCAAGGGGAAATGTACAACATTTGACAATAGTTGTGGTACAAATTAATTGTGCCTGCCTTCATCGTCATACTACGCGAAGGTGAATAGCATTGCATTCAAGCTTTGATTGCTGTCATTCATGAAGTTCTCTACAGTCCCAATCCTGCAACTTGACTGATACCAGAGGCCACACTCTTTGAGAATATTTAACGAGCATCATTCCTACTCCGATGCTGCTCGATATCATGTTGTTTTTTGGAGAATGAGCCTTGAGCCAAGTATTAATTAGGGCTTTGCAGTTTAAAGAGTTAATCAAATTAGAATTGGGTACAGATTCAAGTAAGGTTAAAATATAGTAAGTAGGATTTCAAGATGCAGGAGCGAGAACAAGGGAGACTATTGCTTAATACTGAAGAGCCAATGAATTGAACTCCTGCTCCTCAATGTGTGCACTCCAGGCAGACTGAATTGCTGCTCCAAAATTGGTATCAATAACACAAACCTGATTTAAAACAAATGTCTTGGATTTCTGCTGTCTCCATGTCTGGTCACTTCACCCCACTGATGTCCACAGCACAGGGACATGACATGTTCTCAGTCAAGTGTTCAACCTCAATATATTGTAGCCAATGATGGTTAGGACAGGGATAGGTTTTGTGAAAGCCAGTTACAGCACCGCATATTATTCCAAGGATTCTATCTGCCTGGTAAATGAACATAACAGACTTCAGAAAAGAATAATGGATTGTGAGAATTCTCGTGACGCGGAAGATACTCTTCAGCTCCCTGACTTATTATATCAATCACTCTAGCGATCCAGGGCTCTTGTAGCAAATTTGAGATGCTTGTTAAAAGAGCATCTCACCATTGGAGTATCTAATCCTGCTTGATTGAATATCTGGAAGGTTTTTTACGTGGCCTCCTGTCTCCAAACACTCCATTCAGTCACATGACCCTTTATCTCAGCTCTATTACATTTATGACCAACAAATAAAAAAAAATTCAAAGTAAGTTAATGAAAAATAATTTGTTTTCATGTTCTTGTATGATTTTCCTCGCAATCTCGCTCACAGTGATCAGAAGGATTAAATATTCATTGCAAGACATGCTGGGATAATCCTGGATTGTTGACTTGTCCAATATTTACAGAAACTTTAATCTTTACCACTCTTTGGCTTGTTTCAGTAATAAAAATAAATAAAACATATTCTAATGGTTTAACTATGACAGCGCATCTGATGACACTGTTTAACCTTTGAAAGAATTTGCAGGGTCTGGTCATAAAATGGAGGTTGACCGATGTCAGTTTGGATAAAGAGATTTAAGCTTGAGTTGTATGTAAAGAGATAACTCTCCGGTCCAAAAGTCTGGCAAGTTGAATAAACACACCGTCTTTGTGAGGCCCCCAAAGTAACATAGAATTTACACGAAAAAAAAAATGCGTTGCTATTTGATTTTGTAAAGAGCTTGGATGGTCACATTCTGTCCATCAGTAATTTTTAAATAGGACAAGGGCAGTTTGCATCAATGTGGTGGGACAGTTGAGAGTGATGACTCTATATTACTGGTAATGCAAACTGTCAGTTGATTCCATTTATCATGGAGATGGGGCTTTTATTGCTACACGCATGATGATTATTAAACACTATCTCAAAATTTGACATTGAATTCCTCTGATGTGGAAATGGTTTTGAAAATTAATAAATGCCTCCTCGTACATGTTGGTGATGTGAGGTGTCATGAGACATAGGTCAAAAATTTGGTCATGCCCCCAAAACAGGAATGGAACCGCAATGCGTGACTAACCGGGTGAGCATCATTTTCTCCTGAAAAATGAAGGCGGAATGGTGACCTAATTGATGTCATTTAAATTAAGAAACGTTGTGATGGGGCATTTCCCTCTTGTAAGGAAAAGAATAAAATGAGGCCATTAATGTAAGATAGTCACCACAGAATCCAATACAGAATTCAGAAGTAACCTCTTCATCCAAATAGAGGTGTGAATGTGGAATCTGGGGGCTGGGGGAGATGATTGAATGATTGAAATGAATAATCTAGGTGCATTTCAAGAGAAGCTAAACAAGCATAAGAGAGAGAAGATAGATTAAAAATGGGAGGAGTTTAAGTGTAACATGAATACTGGTTTGGACTGGTTGGGCTCAATGGCCTGTTTCTGTGCCATATTATTACTTTTAACCAACCCGTTCAGAGGTGCATCTCCGGAGCAGATGGGACTTGAGTCTTCGAGCTCAGAGACAGAGACACTACTGCTTTACCACAAAAGCCATCATCTGTGCCATCGATATCAATTGCCACATAGCCTACACCTGCTACTTCTGATGCAGGCAGGACACAAAGTGCTCCCCATTGATGTTCAATGATGGCTATATGCAGCCAGTGCTAAAACAATATTTGTCTGATGGAAGTTTGCAGTAGGGTCTCAGGTTCATGTCACAGAAGCGTCATTTTCTGCTAAGTCAACACTGCTTAAAGCCAAGTGAAAACAGAAAAGTGCTGGAACTTCTCAGCAGGTCTGGCAGCATTCACAGAGGGCAAAACAGAATCAAAATTCCCAGTTGAATGAGACTTCTTCTGATGACAGTTTTTTTTCCGGGAAATCTTAACTCTTTTTCTCCCTCCACAGATACTGCCAGACTTGTTGCACTTTCTGTTGTCATTTCAGATGCATAGCATCCAGAGATTTTCCTTTACTACTTAAAGCCAGCCTGCAGTTATTAAAGAGGAGGTGTAATCCAACTGGACTAGCTACAGAAACTAATTATGGAAGAGAAAAATGCGAGTGAGATGAGTGCAAAATTTTAGCAGAACAGCAAGTATTCTCTATGGTTCTTTGATGCTATGTTGCATATTGGTTGAGAGGAGGAGAAAGATTGATGGTAAGGCAGAACTCCCTTCTGACCAATTCTGAGAAGACAGTGGAAGCAGCTATCTATGGCACATGAAGCTCAATGTCCTCAGTTGAATTGTTAAGATTAGTGAAGCCATCTTGAAATGCACTGCCTCATTTGGTGCGCCACTAGCTCTGTGCACTGCTCAAAGCACCACACTTCAATAACCTTGATCAGTCAGAGACCCACCAAAGATTCGCACCTCAACATTACACTCCTCAAGCTTTTCACACCCACATTCCATGGCTCACATACGTTGCTGGGTATTTGAAGACGGCAATCACATTGACTAAACAGTTTCCATCACGTTCACTGGCACTCTTCCCTCTCCCTTGCAGGACAAAGTGGCAAACGACTGGAGGAAGAAACACCATCGCATGCTTTCATACTCATGGTCAGCGGCTCAAATAATGACATTGCACATACTCTGGAGGATAGGTTAGAGATGCGATCTGCACATGGTGAACAGGGAACAAGGGTAACATAGGGCTGGAAGAGGAGGGAACACACAATTGATTTATTGATGATTTTGCGTGGATGAAGGGTCATTAATTGGCCGGGTTAGAATGCTCCTGCTATTTGTGGACAGGATAAACCTGAACAATTGAGTTGGAAAGATGCAATATTGTAGATGTACTGAAACAGCTTGGTTTAGGGCATGCTTGCTCTAGGGCACAAGTCTTCACACTAAAGCTGGGACATTATCAGTTCCATAGCCTTTGCTATACCCGGTGCCTTCAACATGAAATGAATTAAACTGGTTGAAGAGTAGCATCAGTGAAGGTGGGTTCCACGGGTTTTTGCCTGACTAATCTATGGAACAGCTTGACTACAAGTGCTTAGATTTTTGTGAGGAGTACTTTAAGGGTCAAATGGGCAGAGTGTATCTATGTCACTTCCAGGTGATCTGTCCCATTGTTCAATACAAGCACAGGGCGAGCTAGGCCTTTTCATAGACTAGTTATGAAGCAACAATGTTGTAATGGATCTGGAGTCACACATAGAACAGATCAGATAAGGGCAGTAGATTCATTTCCCATAGGAACATGAGTGAAACAAATGTATTCCTTTTTTTTTAATCAACACTCTATTAGTTTCATGATCATCATGATTAACACTGGTTTCTTTTACCAGATTGCTCAATTAATTGAATCAATTAGTTATGGTGGGATTTTAGCTTGTATCACCAGACTATTAGTCCAGACTTCTGGATTTCTATCACAGATATATTATCGCTCAGATATCTTTCTGTATCCAGCTGGCTTGCAAAATAGAGCCTCAGTGACCTCCATTACGCAAGAGCGAATGATAAACTGGACAGTAGTTCAAAAGTCACCTACTGGCTTGAAAAGATTTAGCCTCTTAAATTTTTATCACCATAGACACTTTTTCATCCACTGTTAATGCAGTCCTGCTCTGAGGCTTGTTATGGACTAGATCAAACCCCGTAAAATATTCAAAAGATAGTCTAGACCCTAATTTTTAAAATTATTTTTCAGGATAAATGTAAGGTGTGACATTCCAGACGCAATTTGATTGGTCAAACTACTGGATTGAAAGCAAAATATACTTTATTCATCCACTGTTGTTAAAATAGAACAAAAGAAAGAAGGAATTGCGACAACTTAACTTTTTTAAGAAAACTTAACAGAATTAGAAATACAGTAACTATTACTAATTAACTGTTACAATATAGCAACATCCCATAAACACACCCTTGGCAAAAGGCAAATTCAGAAAATAGATTGTCTCACATGCAACTCCCCGAGCAGGCAGAGAATGTCAGCTTTTGGTTGTAACCGAGAGAAGGCGAAAAAAATGCTTCCACCACTTCAAGACGCCAATAGCAACTGCTGTTGAATGCTAAACCTAAAACCTGTAGCTGTAGCTGGGAGTCCGACCACACCCATTTATTCTATTGTTCCACCTTTAAAAAAAACACCCAAGGCTTCACAAGTTGTATATCTTCTCATAGGCTGATCAGCACATGTCCCCTAGCATCTCTCTAACAGAAACCAGGACAAATCACACCTCTTAAAGCAACAGTTTTGTGACAAGCTACAGCTGTGGTTGCAGCTGGTGGCAGATTTCAGTGAAGACATCCTTAGCGAAAATGAAACGCACCATTACTCACTGAGATTCAAGTCTGAGAATTGTTCCCTAATTACTGCGGATGGATAGGAGTATTTTACTGAGGAGTCTTGTCCCTGTCCTCCCTCTTTAGGTCACCTCTGCTCATTCTCATAGGAGAGCTGTCGTCCAAGGGAGGAGAAGTGGTTTGTGTACCACTGCATTGATGTCTGGGAGCAAGTGGTTCAAGCAGAATTCTTGAAGTTAAGGCAAAGTCCCTCAGCAGATGTTGCACAACCAAACACATTCACAATTAAAGTAACAGCCAGTAGACATCAAGCAGCAACTAACCTGAAAGTGGTTGATGATCCGTTTAAGTAGCTCTGGTGGGTGTCCCTCCTGACATCAAATGGGTACCCATCTGTAAGATTTAAAAAGGACCATAGCAGGAATGTTTAACTCAAATTTGTAAATTCTGTTTCATGCTGACAGACATCACCATCCCTCAATTTTGTACATTTCTGACAAATGCTCACAGCTTGCAGGCTAACACATTTACTGAAATATTATCCACCGCAACTTGCACCAGATGTCTGTGTGCAGAATGTGGAAACGATTTCAGAGCTAAAACAGCACCCCTAGCACCGACAAAAGCCAACTTTAAGCAGCTAAATTTTTTGGCCATAATTGTTATTGCTATGTTGTACATTTTGTCTGTTCATGCTCATCAAAATTTATATTTCTATTTTTCATAAAAAAAGTTCAGCAAACCTGTTGGAATTTTCATGTCATCGATAAACCACTACTATAGCAGAACGATCATGGACAAAAATGATCTTTTAAGACATATACTGATCACTTCTCCTGGGAGTATAACATTCTCAGCCTGAAGCCTCGCAATTTTGTTAATTACTCTTCCCTTTAATTTCTTTGACTTTCAGAATGAGCCAATTTGCATCCTTGCCAAAAAGCAGAAGCAGTTTATACTTAAACCAGTTACAATTTACAGGCTTTGAAATCCTGATGTTGCAACATTTTTCAAATTATCTGGATAAATGCATAATCTATTTCATTTTAGCTTTAGTCTTTATACTATGGAAGGCCACACACATTACTTAAGTTAATATTATCCTGTGACTGTATATCAAAAGACTCTTGTACATTACCGGAGCTATGCTCTGTCCGCAATTTCCATGAAGTCAGATTTGCCCTTCAAACAGACTGAGAATCATTTGAATGTCCAACATCGGTGCTATATTTCATTCCTTGAGCCCTCTGTTCCATCAACTACATGAGCATTCTCCTCCTATGTGTAAGAGCAGTAAAGATTGAGTCTAAAGTTGTTCTTAGAAATTTTAATCCTGCTATACACTCACTTTGCAATCATAGCATATACAGTTGAAAAAAAAAGTCAGAATCTTCACTGATGTTGTGCCTCACATGTCTGTGGCATATACCACTGTGCAATCAGTTTTTACGTTACATTGATCAATGTTTTGGATCTTCTCGGTTAAATGCAACGTTGAGACGATTATTTACCTATTGCTACAATTTTTTATCTTAAATAACCAAACCATTCCCATAAATCAATTGATAGACCTCTGCAATCACCTTCCCCCACTCTAATGCCCTTTCCTCCCAGTTGTCAACTTTTCCATTGCCAGGTCGAATCCCTGTTTTTCTCCCTCCCATTCATTGCCCACTTCCTCCCACTCCCCAGCAGTCTTTCTCTCCCTTTCCTGGCATTGATCTTTCCCCCAGCCATCGACTGTCGATCCCATCCATCTCCCTTTCACCCAAGCATCCCCATTCCACCCTCTCCCCAAGCACTCTGGTTCCTCCCTCAGCCACCTCCATTCCTCCTGTCTCTCATCCCTCCTTGGTCAGTTTCCCTTCTCTTCCATCCATAATTTCTCTCAGAGCCACTTCCTTCATCCTGGTCATGTCCTTCTTCTTACCATGACTTATCCCCTGCTGTTACTTCTGAGTGCTACATATTGTAAATAGAAACTCCTATTCATGCAGGAATATTTTGGTGGCTGTCAGGATATTTGGAAGGTAGAGGGGACCACTCTCTGAGATTTTTCATCAACGAGTGCTAACATGTGAATTGTTCCCCAGCATGCTTCTGAACTGAGTCACCACGACTCTCTAAGTTTCATATTTGCAAATATTTGGTGATCTGCAGAGTCTTTCCTTCCAAAATTGATTCACCAGTTGGTTTCTTTTGGCTCAACACTCAAAAAAAAGTGTTCCCAATTTTTATTTTGGGAAAGAGTATGGACACCTGTATATTTGCTGATGGAATGGATGTTCTTTTGCAGAGTGGACATTGTCTCTCCTCGGACTCTTTTTTTGCTATTTGTGTAATCTGTGTTCTGTCTGACCCTCCACGCAGATGAGTTCAAGATTTTCCTGAAGAAGTTGCCAACTGAGTATTTCCTGAACTCTTCGACTCTACTGCAGCTGTGGACTATGGACTTCAGTCTCCAGCATCGCTATGAGCAGCTGGAGGCCAGCTTAAAGGGTCTCTTCAACAAGGCACAGAAGACCGTCCGCAAACTCTTCAGCCTAAGTAAGCGCTGCCAGAAACAACCGAAATTCGTCCTTCCCAGAGAAAGGTACAGGATATTCACACACAACAACATCTAGTCATTAAAATTATCTTCCATTTGAGACCTGAATGACAAGGCTTGGCACTGCAGTGTGATTGGTTTAATACATGGCAAGGCCATTGGGTGATGTAGGGAAATGAACATTTTTTTTAAAGGGTTATGATACTGCAAGATATATTTAAGCTCAAAGGTATTTGTCACTTTCATAGTTATCACTGTACCTTAATTCCTATCATTGACGACAATCACAAATATACAATAATGATGAGTAGATTGGGCCTATACTCGCTGGAACACAGAGAAATGAGAGGTGACCTTATTGAAAAATATAACATTCTTAGAAAACTTGACAGGGTAGATGCGGTCAGGTTTACTTTGTCTTGTAGGAGAGTGGAGAAACAGGGGACATCATCTCAGGGTAAGGGGTCCCCACATTTAATACAGATGAGAAGAAATTTCTTTTCCCAGAGAGGAGTGAATCCTTGGAATTTTTTACCATAGAGACCTATTGAGGCCAGGTATTTAAGCATATTCAAGGCTGAAGTAGATGGATTTTTAATCAGTAAGAAAATCAAAGAAAAGGTAGGAAAGTGGAGTTGAGGATTATCAGGTCAAGCATGATCTCGTTGAATGGTGAAACAGTCTCAATGGGCTGAACACCCTACTTCAGCTTCTGGGTCTTCTGGTCTCAACTATCATTAACAATAGTTACATACATACCTGATGAAATACAGCCAACAAATTCAATACATCACAGATTTTAAGCTTGAGGGGATGGGTTTCCTAAGCCTTGTCAAACACTAAATATCTATTCTAACAGCCTTCTGTAAACCTTTTGTTCACTCAGGCTAGGTAAGAATCCATATGTTTCACGGTAGTTTCTGATCTAATTAGCAAGATTTTAACAAAGATTGCACCCCATAACGTAGCTTATACATTTTAACAGCAGGAGATAGTGGTATGATGGTAGTGTCACTGGGGTGGGTAATTCAGAGACCATTATTCTAAGGGCATGGGTTCAATTCCACCACAACAGCAATTAAATTCAAATTCAATTCATAAAATCCAGAATTAAAAGCTCATCAAGCTACAGCTAACGAAGTTTGTGGCCTTGTTGAAAGTAATCAATGCTGAAAGAAATTAATACAAATTCCTGGCTAGCATTAATGAGCATATGGAAAGGGCAAATAAAGTTCAGCACGTTGAAACGTGAGGAAATATATTTTGTTCTGAAAAATAGGATGGTCACATCATTTGAAAGGTGCAAGTCTTGGTGTCATAAAAGAAAAGAAGCGATAGGATTTTGAACTACAAATACATCAATCACTAAATGTTGTGCAAAAACCGAAATGTGCAATCCAAATGCTAAGTTTATTGATAGGGGATACAATTGAAAAGTTAGAGAAGCTAAGCTAATCCTATATTGAAACCCACTTACTCCACACTTGGAACACTGCATGTAGTTTTAATTGCTATATTACCCATAGAATATAGAGGCATTGAACAGGTTACAGAGACTATTTAACAGACGTGTGTGGGTATACATATCAGGAAAAGAAATGGACAGGTTGAATCTCTTTTTTTCCTGAGAAAAGGTGGTGTGGGTAACTTAATAAAGGTGTTTAAAATTATAAAAACAGTTTTTTGAAATCCTGGACACAGAGAGAATGTTTCATTTTGTGAGAAGAGCATAACAATGGGCTATCAGTGTAAAACAGTCCCCGAGCAATCCAATTATAGTCTTATTATAGAACAGAAGGTGGCAACTCAGCCCATCATGTCTGTGCCATCTCTCCAAATGAGCATCATGGACTGAGTGCCATTCTCTTGCCCTTTTCCCCATACATCAGCAAATTGTTTCTATTTAAATAATTATCCAGTGCCCTCTTGAATGCCCCAATTGAACCTAGCTCAAACACATTTCCAAGCAGTGCAATTCCTATCTTCCCCTCCCACAACTACTCCCCCGCTCATCATACCATGTCCAACCTTCACCCATCACATGCAATTGCCTTCCCCTCCCCACCCTCCTTCAGCCTCCTCAGGAATCCCGCAAAACCCTAGCCATGAACCTTGCTGCATATTCACCATTCCCCCAACCTTGAACTCTCTGAGGCCGAGCGGTCTGTCCTTAGTAAAGGGCTCATGTTTGCGCCCCTCCACCCCCACCTCAATGAGTTCAGTGCCCTCCACAACGTGGAATTCTTCTTCCCCGCCTCCACCTCCATGCCTCCTTCTTCGATAAAGATACCCAATCATCCTCTGGGGACCCCTACTCCCACCTCCAACCTTCCTCCTCCTCTTGGACACCCTCTGCCAGCCTCTTACCTGCTCTGGACCTCTTCATTGCTAACTGCTAATGCAACATTGACCATCTCAAGCTCTCCACCCCACCTCGTCCACTCCAACCTCTCCCCCTCCAAACGTGTAGCGCTCCACTCTCTCCACACCAATCCCTGTTTCACTATCAAATCTGCTGACAAAGGTGGGGTGGTAGTAGTCTGGAGGATGGACCTCTATATTGCAGAGGACGAATGCCATCTCTCTGACACCACGTCCTACCTCCCCCTTGACCTCAACCCCACCATGGCCCATCAAGCCACCATCTCCCACACTGTCCATGACCTCATTCCTTTCAGTGATGTCCCCTCCACTGCCTCCAGCCTTATAGCCTCCCAGCTCCGCACTGCCCGGTTCTACCTGCTCCCCAAGATCCACAAGCCCAACTACCCTGGCTGACCCATCGTCTTCACATTCTCCTGCCCCACCGAACTCATCTCTTCCTACCTTGACTCCATTCTCTCCCCCTTGGTACAGGCACTCCCACCTACATCCGGGACAAAAACCATACCCTCCACCTCTTTGGTAGCTTCCTGTTCCTTGGCCCCCAGCGCTTTATCTTTAACTTTACTATGGATATTCAATCCCTATACATTTCCATACCCCACAAGGACGGCCTATAGGCCCTTAATGTTTTCCTCGCCAGCAGACCCATCCAGTCCAAACCCCAAACCCCACCCCCACAACATCCCCCCCTGCCCCCCTCCGCCCCACCAGTACCCTCCTCCACCTCGCCAAACTAGCCCTCACCTTCAATAACGTTTCCTTCAATTCTTCCCACTTTATCCAAATCTAGGGGGTGGCCATGGGCACTCACATGGGCCCCAGCTACGCCTGCCTGTTTGTCGGTTATGTCAAACAGTCCCTCTTCAATACGTGCGCTGGTATAGTTCCCCAACTCTTCCACCCTTACATCGATGACTGCATCGGTGCTGCATCCTGCACCCAGGCTGAACTGGAGCAGTTCATCGACTTCGCTAACAACTTCCACCCTGCCCTCAAATTCACACGGTCTATCTCAGACACCTCCTTCCCCTTTCTTGACCTCTCCGTTTCCATTTCTGGTGATAGTTTACGGACCGACATTTACTATAAACCCACAGATTCCCATAGCTACCTAGACTACACCTCCTCCCACCCTGTATCCTGCAAAAACTCCATCCCGTTTTCCCAATTCCTCCGTCTACCCTCCCTTCCAGCCACCAACTGGATTCGTTCCTCCCATTCACCAAAAAGGTCACAGCTACCACCAGCGTCCACCTATCACCATCATTCCACCTCCACCCACACCCCCCAACCACCAGCGCCCCCCCCGCAACCCCCCCCCACCCCCACTTTATCTGCAGCTCCCCTGACCTACATTCAGTCCTGAGGAAGGGTAATACCCAAAACGTTGACTTCTCCTTTTCTCCAGATGCTGCCTGGCCTGCTGTGTTCTTCCAGCCATGTCTACCTTGGATTCCAACATCTGCAGCTTTTTTGTCTCAGTGCAATTCCTAACCTGAACCAGACAGTCATAGAATCATAGAGATGTACAGCATGGAAACAGACCCTTCAGTCCAACTCATCCATGCCGACCAGATATCCTAAATTAATCAAGTCTCATCTGCCAGCATTTGGCCCATATCCCTCTGAACCCTTCCTACTCATGTACCCATCCAGATGCCTTTTAAATGTTGCAATTGTTGCAAATGTTGCAATCATGATCCCAGCAAGAGTGATTGGAAAGTGCCCTCCAATATTCACCATCTCAGCTCGCCATCTCAGCTCACTTGGAAAGAACTGGTTCTGGGTGAGTTACTGCAGAATGGCTTAACACCTGAGGAACAATGCTCCAGGGAACAGTCAGCATCTTCAACACAGAAAATAAGATCACGGGAAAATGCTGTCAGAGTTGGCATTGTTGCTGAGTTCATAGTAATACATTGAATGTGCAACACATAAACCATACATTCGGCCCAAAATGTTTATGCTAGTGATGATACTCCCCACTAGCTTCCTCCCGCTTATCCTTCTCCAACCCTAGTAACATATCCTTCATGATCATGGTTATCACTAGCTTTTCCCTGATTACATCTATGCTACTCATCTCAATGGCTCTTGTGGTAGAAAATTTTATGTTCTCATCGCACTCTGGGTAAAGACATTTCTCCCGAATTCCTTTATTTTGTTTATTAGTGACATCTTAGGTAGCTGACCCTAGTTTTGGATTCTTTCACAAATGACATAGTGATAGAGTCCAAGAGCACAGAGACAGGCCCTTCAGCCCAAACTGGTCCATGCTGACCAAAATGTCCATCCACACTAACCCCATTTCCCAGGATTTGGCCAATATCCTTCTAAACCTTTCCTATCCAAGTCTTCATCCAAATGCCTTTTAAATGTTGTCAATGTACCCACCTCAACCACTTCCACTGGCAACTCATTCAATATGCGTACCCCACTCTGTGGAAAAAAGTTGCCCCTCAGGTTCCCATGTATTCTTTCACTTCTTGCCTTAAATTGATGCTCTCTAGTCCTTGATTTCCCAACCCTGGAAAAAAAGACAGAGTGCATTCACCCTATCCATGCCTCTCATGATCTTATTAACTTCTAAAACCCCACCCACCGCCCCTCCCCCACCAAGTCTCCAATACTCTAAAGAAAAAAGTCCTAGCTTGTCCAACCTCTCCATATAACTCAGCCCCTTGAGTCCTG